CGTCCGTCTCAGTCAGACTTGCGGAATACTCATGTCACTCCCTTCGACCACATCCTGATCTCGCAACTGGCTCTAGCTGCTTTCCCTAAAGCTTTCGGTTGGTCTAGAGGATCTAATCCGACCGAGCAGTTCATCTACAACACAACGTCCTTTCAATTAACCTCACCGACTTCGAATCTGGGCATTAATCCAGGTTGGGTAAACCTGACAGAACTAAGCCCGGAGGTTTTTGCGAAACGGCTATCTCTTGTTCTGAACACCTACTACCAACTTACGATTGCACCAAACGCATATCTTGGAAACCTTCCACAAAGCAACTCGTCGGCTTTCGGTCTTGATACCAAGCCAGTAAACGATGTCGATGTCTACCTACTTCAAAACGAAACTACCCAAAACACTACCTTCGCAAACTGGTTCAGACCCTTTAATCTGGCGACGTATGACTCAGGAATATTCTTCATCGGAGCGACGACAAACGCGACAATTAGTAGGACACATGACATCTACCTTTGCAATTTCGCTTGGCTGAGTCTGTTGCTCGTAGCTGCAGTTGCGATATTTCTGGTCGGCGTTGGGTCGTTGATTCTCAAGCGGAAGACACTTGGTCCGGAGATGTTTGGATTTGTCACAAGCATGACCTACGAAAATCCATACCTCGATCTACCTGCGGGAGGCAACACCTTGGATGCTATGGAAAGAGCAAGGTTGCTGAAGGACGTTGATGTGCACGTGGGCGACGTACGCGCCAGTGAGGACATCGGGCATATCGCATTCGCTGCGGGCACACCGAAGCGCAAACTTGAGAAAGGCCGCATGTACTTTTAAGAGGCAGCCTCCGTCTCGTCTCGGTCCAGTCTGTGGCGCAGTAGCTCTTCGTCATGCACGATGTGGGCCCCCCCTACGAGGAAAAGGGTACGGCGATTCGTTGAGTCTGGACAGCTCTAATTAACATCACCTCAGTCAACAAGTGCGACACACCCAGGAAGTAATTGCCTATCCTGGTGTTTAGGATATGATGGGTCAGTGAAGATGGGCCTCCAAACAATTTGATCATCCCTCCAGGGCAGCAAACGTCCGCGTCATCGTTCATCGACGCAATACCCACAGCTAATGGTAATCGGCACCCTGGCGCCGTAGCTCAGCCAGTCCCTTGCGCGATTCGAGAGAAGATGTGTCAGTCTTTGAGCGGATGCTAGTGAATACAAGCGTCGACACCAGGCGCAGTGGAGCGAAACCCAGAAACGAGCAGCCATCGGCGTCCGCGAAAGAGAAAGCGGCTCACCAATCGGCCACGTTGGACAGGGATCGTGGAGTCTGAGATGCGACGCTCCATAAAACACAGGGGTACGGATCTTCTACCGGCCCGCTAAGCGACCATGCCTTAACCAATGGCTGCTCAGATGCAACATCGAAACGAAACCTCCCCCTTTAGGCCCTGCACCGACACATGGTGATCCTCGAATCCACGTCTTCATGGCCTTCCCACTTAGGCGTCGACGCATAACGTACATGCGTCGGCTTTGCACCATTTTCGCATTCCCTTGGCTGGGAGCCTCAGCATACCCGGACCGCCCGTTTCATCCCGTAGACGCTGGCCGCTGTGGACCACCAACGTCTTCCATGTACCTTGTCTTACGTCTACACTGTCACCCTCCAGTATGGTCGTTTGATTAGAGGATCATTCGAGCATACGCATTGTGGAGGTTTTGGTGGCGGCACGCGATGGCTATAGTATCCACACCACGTTGGTGGTGGCACAAGTATAAGACACGATCGCTTCTTCGCAGCATGATTTTCCCATCACAACTCACGCTCTCTTAGTAGCTTCTACGTTCTTTGCATTGCAGTATCATTTACACGACTAGCAGGTCTAGATCACTTACATTCTCTACAAACATCTATCGCAATTGCCGTTGTACAATTTCCCCATTCCAACCATCAGCATCATGTCCGTCCGATCCACCGTTATGGCTGCGGCCGCTTTCTTCGCCATCACCAACGCCCATATCATCATGGAGCAACCTGTTCCGTACAGCGTTGACAAGATCGACAATGGCCCTATCAACAAATCCCAATTCCCCTGCAAGAGCAACCTTGGCTTCACAGTCTCCGAGATGAACAAGATGGCCGTAGGAGAGCAGCAAACAATCAAGTTCAAGGGCACAGCTGTCCATGGCGGCGGTTCCTGCCAACTCAGCGTTACCATGGACACCGAACCTACCGAGAACTCCAAGTTCAAGGTTATCAAGTCAATTGAAGGTGGATGCCCTGGTGTCGATGGCCAAGTTAGCGAGTACAGCTACGAGCTTCCTGCCAGCATTCCCAACGGCAAGGCTACCTTTGCATGGACTTGGTTCTCGAAGATGTCGGGAGCCCCAGAACTTTACATGAACTGTGCGCCTATCGAAGTTACTGGTGGCGCTAGCGATGACTCTGCTTTCAACGAGCTTCCTGATATGTTTGTCGCGAACATCAATGAGGGTTGCACCTCTCCTCAAAACTTTGCTACCAAGTTTCCCAACCCGGGTTCAAACGTCGAGAAGGGTGCTACCAACGACTTGGAAGACCCTACTGGTAGCTGTGGAGCTACTGGTTCCACTCCTGCTGAGCCATCTTCCCCTGCTGGTGGCGAGTCTTCAGCTGCTCCCTCATCTCCTGCTGGTGGAGAGCCATCTGCTGCTCCTACTTCTGCGAACGATGGTCAGTACCATCCTGCCCCTACCGCCCCCGCCGCGGGATCGCCATCTGCCGTTCCCACATCTGTTACTGGAGGCGACTCATCTGCTCTCCCACCTAATGGCGGTGGTGTCTTCGCTCCCGGAGCTTCCAGCGGTGCATCCATCGCTCCCCCAGCCGCACCCACAGTGCCATCGACGTCCACCACACTCGTTACTGTTACCGCCTCACCCACTGCTCCCTCTCCGGTCGCACCCACCGTTCCTGCTGGAACCGGCTCTCCTGCCGCTCCTTCTATGCCTTCAACTCCTTCAGCTGGTGGCGCGGGCACTTGCACCGAGAACGGCTCTGTGGTCTGCAACGGCGCCGATCAATTCGGCCTCTGCAACAACGGCGAGGTCGTCTGGCAAGCCGTCGCAGCCGGCACAACCTGTGTCAACGGCAGCATCACAAAGCGTGGTTACAACGGACGCATCGCTCGTCCTCGTTGGTCCAGCCGCCGCGTTGTCAACTAAACGCACAATGCCTCATGACACGCATCGCTCACGACACATATTGAAACATGACTGCATTCACACACTCGTTTCTTCCACCTTTTTCGACCGGGAATGTGGTCTGGGACCGAACTTTCCGCTGTACATACCCAAAGCTTTTCTTCGCATCTATTGGCGTTCTGTGTTGGGACTTTTCGAGATTTTCGAACGAACACCAAGGGGCTTGAGTATCGACAGGGTCACAAGGATGCCTGCCGGTAGCCAAAATCACCCTCGGTTTAGAAGCCTTAGAAATGAAACACGATTTCTGATACCATGCCTTTTCCGATTTAATTGCGTGACTGTAGCATCTGTCGTTCCTAATGTGTATTGAAATCGGCTGAGAGGTAATTTGCCAGTTGTCGAAATAGTGGGCGTTGTTGGTTGATTGACAGCTTGATGATCCTACAATTCGTTCATTTCAAACTACATAAAACTTGCTCCTGTTAACCATCTCGTTTATCTATCGCAACACTATCAGCCCTCATGTCTACCCAGCATGCGCACAAACGTATCCCATTCTCTCATCCACTCCAGTCCACCCTCGAATACCCATCCGCCTCCCTGAGCCAGATCACTAATCAGGCTCGGAGCGCGGATGTCTTGAAACCTCGCATGCTTGACCATCACAGGGCCCTCGAAACCCGGACCCCGGCATCAAAGCCGCACAAGCATCATCCCACGACAAATGATGTGAATCATCTTAGATCTGGAAATAGAAGTAGGCTTGCTCAGCCACTATACTAGCTAGTGTCAGGTACTAAACCCTTGATATCCATGGAGTGGGGTTGGTGGGGGTGTGGCGCAGTATGGACGAAAAAGGCGAGGGCGATGTTTCCAAAGTTGGGATATGCCTAGATGCAGAACGATTGGGCGATACAAAGAATGTCTTTGGTGTTTGCGAAGTGTGGTGCGCTCATAAGTAGAGAGACTAAGCCCCAGGGCAGGTTAGTAGTTCAGAAGTAAATATGTCTTCATTGCGCGTGTTATTCGACCCCATATCAACCCAGAACCTTTGAATGCCAAGTATATCCTTCGCAGGAGCCAAGACTCGCAAAGCTATCGGTCGGACAGAATGTTGTGCGACTCCTTCTTTGCACTGGCACACTATCGTCGGAAACCCCATGTCGCTGGTGAAGCTGTTAGCTGTTTGGTCGAAGCCACAGAACGAGCTTTCGTCGATACAGCTCGATAAGTTCGCGGTTTGAGGAATGGTCGATAGTGCCCAGGTGCCATGGGGGAAGGTTGCATTGCTCAGCTTTGGAACCTGTTTAAGGCAGTGACGCGTTGTGCAGGAACTTAGCTGCTCTATATAACAGAAGCGATAAAGAGGTGTACAAAGCGATAGAGCACGAATAGTAAGATTATGAAAGCTATGTGAAGCTGGCTTCTGAGCTTATGATGTCATGATCCAGATACTCATGTCAGCTATTGAAATGACCGTGTCATTATAAACTTGATAGCAACTTGTGTAACCGCACAAATCCAAGGGCATTTTACCGTCGCTTACCGATTGTGGCATGGTGGCAAAGAGGGACCAACCCCTATTTCGTGCCGTGGCGATCGGCAGGATTGAGACGAACTCCGGGGCCATCATCGATTTCATCCCAGCCATCAAGCCCATGTTATAAGCGACCCTTACTGCAGACCCTTTGATTTGTGTGAAGTATCTAAGTGTACCGCTCTTCGATTCGGGATATCTACCCCCCGTGGAGTGTGTCCGCCAGACCTGGCCGAATGCGGCTAGCGGCGCAAATTTCCTCAGAAATGCGGGACAGCGGTGTGAAGTTTTCAGGCCTTGGCCCAATGCACTACTCCTGGCTCGCTCGAGGGGCGAGCTTCCACGTACTTGGCAGTAGTGAAGGCTTCCCATAGGTCCGCGAGGAAAGATGTCTTCTTTTGCGCAATGTACTTGTCCCCAAGCAACGGCGCAATGGCAAACGTAGCCTCTTCGCAGTGATAGAAGGGAATGCGCCTGGGCTGTCAGTTTCAGATCCAACACTAGTTAAAGCGAATCTACTTACGGGAAGATGTGATGCACGACATGGTATTCAATGATGCCGTGAAAGATGTGGCGTCCAATAAAGCCGAATTCGCGATCCACAGTGGACATGGCGCCCTTCTGGTAAGTCCAGGCCCCATCTTCGTAATGAGGCGCTTCTGGGTGCGTGTGGTGGAGATAAGTGATAGCGACTTGCATGGTTAGTGAATGCTGTTTACACGGTTGGGCCAAAAAGATGCTTACCGATCCAATGGTTCATCCAGAGGTAAGGAAGACCGTACAAGAAGAAAGTGTTTCGGTAGCCTAGGGTCTGAGCGACTTGATAGAGGACTGCAAAGACGGCCACGATGCCTGCGTTGGATAGAAGGACGTATGGCTGCTCTTGACGAGTGAAGACGGGCGAAGTGGGATCGAGATGGCTTTGCTTGTAGGTCGGCACGGTGGATCGACGGCCTCTGGTAAGGCTTTGTGCGCCAGCTCCTGCGTTGATCAGGATGTAGGCTGGCCATCCGAAGAGCTGGTGAATCGCCAGAGTGAAGAGACTGACGATGGGTGTATCCGCCGCGTCGTGGTCCACGAGGCGTGTCAAGAAGCTCTGTTCGGCCTTTGACTCGGAGGTTGGCTTGCGGTTGGGCACGAAGACGGTGTCCTTGTCCATGTGGTTTGCGTAACGGTGATGACGGGAATGGCTGAACTTCCACGAGAAGAATGGGACAAGAAGAATGCTGTGAAGGACCCAACCAACTGCCGCATTGACTTGGAGATGGCTTGAGAAGGAGTCGTGGCCACATTCGTGGGCCAAAATCCAAAGCCCTGTGAAGAACAGACCTTGGACAAAACTGTAGAGGACCCAGAGCGGAATGGCCCAAGACGACTCAAGACGTGTCAAGCAGACGGCAGAATAGAACAAGGCGCTGACCGCCACGAGGTCTCGTGCAACGTACGAAAGGGATCTCAGAAGAGAGCGTTCGAAGCATTTTTCTGGGATGGCTTCTCGAAGAGCCTTGATTCCGGGCACAGAGGCATCTCCAACCGGTGCCATGTCCGGCGAGGTGAGCGTCTGGGTTGTGGTTGCACTCATGGTGGGTGGTGGAGGAAGAATGTGAGAGAGACGGAGAAAGGAAGAGGAAGGGAGAGGGCACGATTATCTACTCAGACGACAAAGCTGCACAGTCCTAAAGGGCCCTTGGTGCGTTCTCAACAAGGCAAGACGAAGACGCTCAGTGGATCAGATTGGACCCCTATGTGGAGTACAGTGTTGCGGAAAGTACCTAGGTAAGTCCTGGACTTAGCTTTGGAGACAAAGCTTTAGTCTAGAGCGGCCCGACGATAAAATCGAGGGATGGAATGCTGGAGCGGCACGCAAGGCCCGTTTACGCGCAAAAGTCGGTGTGAAAGATCAAGAGCAACCAAACGGCGTCCGCGTAATTGCTCCTTTACTCGACAGGGCTGGGCGGCCGTTGGAACGGTCTACACATGGCTGCCAATCTCGTACCCAACGTGAACAAGACTGCAGATCTCATTCGCGTCAGCGACCCACATGGAACCAGGAGTGTTTGCTCAGTTTCGGCGGTTTTCATATCGCAGGTTCTGGCCTAGCTATCCAAACCATGTATATACCATTGATAAGTACCGGAGAAACTGTTTGAGATTGAGTTTGCGCAACACGGCGGCTCAAAACGGCTTTTTACACGCCATGGCGTCCGTTGCCACGCTTATCTCACGGCGCGAGGGCCCGTATGCTCAACAGACGCATCCTAGCCATAGAAAGCAGGAGGGAGGAGTCTTTGTCTGGGTAGCAAGCAGACTAATGCTACCACTGTGGGGTCCCGATGTCGTGGTCGCAGGAAAAAAAGGGTTCAGGCACATTTGCTGGACCCTGGAACTAGCTCCGAAACGACTTGGCGCCTCGGTAATCTCTACCGCCTGTGCGCCTCCACGCGCCCTCGGCTCTTCGCCTCTTCGTCGTCCATTTAACCATACTTTAACTTTCGGCGGCCATGCTCAGTGAGGCTGTACCTCGATTCTCTGCATGCCGTTGCTGCAAACCTAATCGGCCGGCGCGAGAACGCACGAGAATGTCGTATGGGGTATTCCGACACGCACGGGCCACCTCACCTGGGTAGCATTATCTACACCGGACACTTTGGTCTTCTCGCCAAGCGTGCCCGATATCTCCCTTTGACCCGATGCACGTTTGGGATGACGCTGTCCTGCAGTCAACAGGCATCGCCAACATCACCATCGTTTTGTGTCTCTCGTCTCAAAGCACGTCATGTGTTATCTTGGCTAGCTTATGTACAACATGGGTCCGTATAGCCGTATTCGCACCGACTAGCCTCCGCACTCATCGAGCCGCTTGACAGCTTCCGCTTCACAGCTTCGATAGCGCACTAACCTCTTCCACGAAGCCTCGCTCCCACGTCTCGAGTCCTGCTCTGGGGCACCAACCCAGTCTCTTAGCGATTTCACTGCGAGTCCTGCATGTGCTTGCGAATCCCAGCTCAGCAACTTGCTCAACACCACCAGTCAAGAGTTTGGCTCCATCGGCGAGACAAACAGACCTTACCGTGTTACTCTTGACTACGCCGGCGTCGAATGCTGCATTTGCAACCGCCTGCGACACCTCGATCCACGTGTGACGCCCATGTGCGCTGAAAACAACGCCTTGTTTCCCCTTGGGCAGAGAAGCGCCTCCCTTTGACAAGATCTCCACGAGTACCAGCTCGTAGAGCTCTGCCAGGTCCTCGATATGAACTAGAGCAAGAGATCAGCGTGCGTTTGTGACAGAGATTCGGCGGTAATAGTACCGTTGTCCCACACACCCTTGCCGTCACCGATAACGATGGCTTCCCCTTCAGAGATCGCCGCTCGGGCCAATCGAGGAACTTGCAGACTACGCTTATTCCACAAGCCCGTTCCAACCTAGACGAGGTGTCAATATTGTGCGGGGCCGCAGTTTGCGGGGAGGCGTCGCTCACCCCGTAGATCAATGGAGACATGAGAACGACAGTCTTCACGCCTGACTCGAGTCCAGCATCTATCATGCCAAGCTCCGTTGTGCGTTGAATGTACTTTTTTACTGTGTTGCGCGACTTCTCATACGCATAGATGTTGTCCCTCGAGTCGTCGAATTCCAGATCGGGGTTGGATTCAACGTGAACACCCGAGAGTGGCTGGTCCGCAAGGTTCGAGACACCTGAAGTGTGGACCATCCAAGCATCTTTGCCAGTGGACTTCTGGCGCACCGAAAGACCCTCGATAAAGGCCGCAGCACTGGCGAGATGATAACCGAGCGTCATGTTGAAGATGACGTCGTACTGACTTGCTATCTCGACAAGGTGGTCAGTATCGTCCAGACCTTCGAAGCCGATAACCTTGACCCTGTCACCAAACGCAGCGTGGAGCTGTGCAACTCTTTCTTGGCCTCGAACGAGACACGTAATATCAGCGTCTTTGATCGCTGCATGTTTGCTGCGAAGCAGTTGGTGGAGCACACTGCCCCCAATGTATCCTGTGACGCCGGCAAGCAGAATCCTTTCCCGAGCCATGATTGGAAGATACGACAACGTGATACAAGTACGAGATATCGGCGATGATGATATATTGGCGGTCCGAGGATTGTCTGGGAAACCTGCCTACTTTTGAAGTGATGATTACTAAGAGGGTATTCAGACAACGGCTGGGTCAATACTATGCACCTCGATATACCTGCTCTACGTGGGCGAAAGACATCATCTTGCCCGGGGCCTCGCACTCCAATGGAGGCAGCGGAGTTCTCTCCGGAACTTTGCTTTGCATCGGTACTGCATTCCCGCCGTTGGAACTTTGTCTTAACAAAGTTTCGCTATTCTCCCGATACGGCCCGCTCCATCGGCATGATAACACATCTAGCTGCTGACGCGGCTGAATACAAACTCAACACCCTTGGTGACTGCACTACACAACTGTAGCATGGAAGAATTTAGAGTCATGCAGCTAGGGCAAAGTCCTTCATCTCACACACCCATATCTCCGAATAACGCATATGGCATTCATCGGCCTCATTCAACATGATACCTCATGATAGCTGCAGCGGTGCGGGCCGAATACCAAGATCACTGCAACCAGGCTTCCTACATCCCAGTCGCCTTGATTGTCTGGTGTTCCTTATGCGAAGATAGTTTTTGGCATCGTTCGTGTCGTTAGTATTGCGATAATCAGAGGTGACTCGTGGTCTGTGGGCTACGATGCAAAGAGGATAGACCGGATGTAATTAGAGTACGACACCACGCGCACATAGACCGTGTTGTCAGCACACACCAATCTCTCACCGACCTGGGGGCGATCCCCAATGACCTGAACCCAGGCCCGGTGCCCAAAGTCAACACCATCCTCGTGGGGTTTGTCACATGTCAGTGGATGTTACCGTATTACGGCAACTACTTGTTTGGTGCAACAAGTGCCGATTGAGATAAGACGACGCAAAAAGCCAAGTCCTGAGCACCCAATAGCCACGGAAAACCAGTCAGCTTACTCTGACCGGCCGTCTAGCTAGCGTCGGCCGACTGCCGAAGTATCTACCTGGATATGACGAGGAACGTGGGCGAAGTCAAACAGAGAATGAAGCTAGAAACACATGCACTGACGTTACGTGCATAGGGCGAACAGTCCTTGAAGTTAATCGACACTACGCTACGTCACTGAGGCTGAGATCCGTCGTATTCAACAGCCTCAAGTCTAGTCGCATTGCCGACGAAACTTGTGCCCATGATGCTTCCGGGTTAAAACTTGTCTGTAGTCTCGTTGAAAGAGTCGGTATATTCACTGAGTCATTTACCCTACTGCCGGTCGGTTTTCGGTACCAGACTTGTGGGGGTCTAGTTTACCCTCCACTGATCAGCCTGCGATCTAGCAACTAGTGTATGGCAATCGTCTGGGGACTCTGTATCAACCTAGCTTTGAGGGTCTCCAGGTTCTAACCACGGCGATCCCCAACGTGCGTGAAATTGGCGGGATCGCAGGGGGAGTGACTTCGGGAGAGTATTATAGCGATTGATCAAACGACCTGACTATAAGACGCCACTTCCACGTTAGGAGCCGTTAATCCAACGCTTCATCTCAAACCTCTTCATCGTATCTACCTTGATCGCTCACAATGAACGTCTCTACTCCAACTTTTCCATGGCATCTCATGCCGACCATGGACTCTCTCCCTTCTGCAGAGCAGTTCTCCACCATCGAGATGCACCCGCGCAATATAGTCGCAAGTCTCTTGGCCATAGTGATCAGCTTTTCTTACCTTCGATCTGTTACGAAAAAGACTGGCCTTGAGCGCTTCCCCGGACCGTGGTATGCGCCCTATACGGCCCTGCATCTGCGATGGCTCTTCGCTCGTGGCACGATCCACGAATATGTCGAGAAGATGCACAAGCAGTACGGCGATGTCATCCGTTTGGGACCAAGACAGCTCTGGATCTCTGATAAGGGAGCTATGAAGCAGATTCTTCTCACGATTGATCTACCCAAGGTTACCATGTATGCTGAGATCTCGAGAGACAGAAAAAGTCCCGGTCTCTTTGGAGAGATGTAAGTATCAGTCTCCCGTATTTCCTTGCGAAAACGACGGTAGCTGACGCCGAAAACCCACAGCCGCCCCGTTCCCCACCGCAACCTCAAGAAGTTCCTCAGCCCAGCTTTCACTGTCTCTTCTGTCGACAAGCTAGACACGTTCTTCAAAGCGTGCACATCGATCTTGCTCAGCAACTACTACACTGAAGTCGACAAGGCTATCGCTCAAGATGCCAAGTCCAACCCCAACGGCGACTTCGAGACTGACCTTATGCGTGACTTGCACTGTCTTGCGCTAGACATCATGGGCGAGTCGTCATTTGGTAAGGGCTTCGGGCAGATCGACAAGATCTTCGATCCCAGCAAGCTGTTGTCCGGCAGGGACAAGCGCTGGAGCAAGATTCCCGACGCCATCTTCAATGGTCAGGCGAAGAGGTATGGGCTGGTCTTTGTGAAGAGATTCCTCAGGCGCATGGGATATGAGTGGGAGGTTGATTGGCCCAAGGAGATGACGTCTGCGATTTGCGAACTCGTCGACGAACGCGCGGCAGCTCAGGGAGGACACGAGAACAAGAAACGCATCGATGTCCTCCAGCACATGTTGGACGAGGGCGCGCGACCAGACACGGGAGAGCGTATGTCGAACCAGGACATCATCGATCAGATGTCTGAGCTCCTTCTCGCTGGATCGGAAACCACGTCTGGTACGTTAGATTCATCCATGCCCCATTGCCACTCCTTAGCTCCTAGGTTGCGGCCTTCAAGTTTCCCTCTTCACCGCGCATCATAGTAGCTAACGAGGCGCCTTAGGAACCATGGCATGCCTGTTTGTGGAACTCGCACGAACCCCCACCGCTCTCGAAAAGCTACTCGCTTCTCTTCCCGTCCTTGGCCCCAATGACCCCATCCTAGACTCAAAGACGGTGCGCACAGACCCACAATATCGCTACCTCGAAGCCTGTCTGAAGGAGAACCTGCGCATGAACCCCATTGCCTCGGAACTGGGTCGCCGTACCACAGACCAAGGCCACAACATCAACGGCAACGAGATTCCGCCTTACACGATTGTGTCGGCCAGCTACAGGGCGCTCCATCGTGATGAGAGGTACTGGCCTCAGGCGGAGAGGTTCTGGCCGGAGCGGTGGCTGGAAGGTGAGGAAAGAGAGGACGCACCCGAACCTGAGTAAGTCGCCCTGGTGATGAGACGAGATATTCGATGTGGACATTTTCTGATGTGAGATTGTAGTCTGGATGCTTACTTTCCATTCTCCAACGGCCGACACAATTGTATCGGACAAAAGTATGTTACCTTATCCCTCATCTTCTGCTGCGGCAGCGCACTAACATGCATGGCCAGCTTCGCATACGCAGAGATGCGCACAGTCTCGGCCAATCTTCTTTCTCGCTTTGCCCTCGAGGAGGCTGGATACCAGCAGATCCAACTCCGGCAATTCATCACGATGCAGTTCCATGATGGCAAGTGGAGAGTTGTGCTGAAGCCCCGCTGGAAGGATGCTGCGAAGGCTTAATGCGCGAGCTTTCGCGTCGCTACTGCAGCATGTTGGGGTGGACGGCGTTGAGCAGGAAGCACTCGATCGAAGAACAGATTGAACAACAGATTGAAAGAAAGGGGAAAGCGCGAAGCAGGACCATTCTCCAGTTTGAGGGCACATTCCTTTTCTCTTTTGGTTAGTGCGACTAGGCAGTAGAAGGCACAATTTGATTGATTCCACCACCAACTCCCGTGCTCGTCTGCTTTCTTGCAACATGGCATGGCTCTGGACTGAAGCGTGAGGCGAGCGGAGGCAGCGGAGGCAGCGGAGTCAGCGGAGTCAGGCTGCATGAAGGCAAGGATATCGACCCGGGCTGTGGACAGAGGCTCGGGCTTATCTCGCAGCCTGCAGCCAAGGCCGAAGTAGCAGCGCATGCCGTCAGCGAGCGTGAGGCAGCCCTGGAGTGCCGGAGGCTAGCGCGCCGCTGCACCGGAGCGCGTCAGGGCAACTCAGCAGCAACAGCAACAGCCTTGTGCACGACACCATGGCCATGGCCACGACCCGCACACGACATGTCTGAGCCCCGACGCTCGACGAGGGCGCGCGCCCGCGAAGACGCCGCCCCGGCTGCCCCCGACACGCCCAACGACAAGCCCGCCAAAACCGCCAAAGCCGCCCTGAAGCGCAAGCGGACCAGCCTCGCCGTCAAAGACGCGCCACCCTCGACGCCCGTTGCTGAGGGCGCGCCGCTGCCCCCACGACAGACGCTGCCCCTCCAGCTGGTCGACGGCGCGCCGCTGCCCACACTGCGCGAGCCACAGCCCCTCCACCTTCCATCGAGCGAATGGCAGACGATCCAGCAGAGCCGCGTCCTCGAGACGTCCTTCGAGCGCTCCAAGGCTGTCTGGCTGTCTGGCGCCAACTTCCGCACCTTCCATGCCCACTTCAACCAGCCCAAGAAGCTGGCCGACCGCACCGACGAGGACAAGGCCAAGACGGCGAGACAGAAGGAGCTGCTCAAGAACTTCCCCCAGGTCGGTGCCGACAGGGTGAGTGTGAAGCTCGTCATAGAGCCGCACACGCTGCCTATCCGCCTCTACGGCCCGCGCGAGGTGGGCAGACCAGCACAGAAAAAGGCTCCCGCGCCATCGCCCTATGCTCCCTGGCCAAACCACAACCAGCCCAACCAACACACCAAATACCAGGGTGGCCAGCCGATACAGCAGAAACCCCAGCCACGCCCACCGCAGCCCCCCAAACCTGTCCAGGCCGCGCCTCCGCCTCAGGCCCCCGCAGCCCCCGCCCCCGATCCCGTCATACACATGCTCGCCGCGAGAGCAGGAACAGATCCCGAGCTGAAGGCTGTCATGAAGATAGTCGCCGCTGGCTCGGCAAGCAAGGAGCAGCTCGAGTTCTTCCAGACACACATCAACGAATTGACGGCGATTCTGGCCAGGCAGAAGGAGGAAAAAGCGCCCAAACCAACTCCGCCAACGCAACCCCCCAAA